ACGAACTGGTCAGCCTACCGCACTCTTGTCTCTCCTCTGTTTGAAATTTTCCCTCTTTTCGATCTCCCCCATTTTGCATATCGTTTCCAAGCAGCTATTTTTCTCCTTGCGAATCATCCATCTCGATTTCAAATTCCTCCCCTCTTCCTTCCTTCCATACTATAGCTTCACCTGTTTGCATTATTACAGGCCATTATTACAAACCAGTATTCGCGTTGCTACAGGAAGAGGCGTATGTGGGTTGCTGACCCAGTGGCATTTAGGTTAGATTCATACGCTTTACAGCATCGAAAAATGCCCGACGATGTCCCGGTTTATGTTGTATGCCAGCTCGAAGTAACGTTTGGTAGCGAACGATCAAAAATTCACAGAGAGATTGACTTCCACACGTTATTATACTGGTTAGCTTGAAATAATTATTCATGCTAACTGAAACGTTCTTTTCATTTCACGAGCATGTTACACGTATTTCAATTATATATTTATCAAGTGCCACGTTGATCGGTAACAATCATTGCTCTCGCGCGTAATTCAAGCGTCACTTGAAATATTTATTCGACTCTACGAGTATAGTCACTATATACGCTTCAGTTCATATATCTTTCAAGTTTCAACTCGAAATTATTTATCTGAAGCAATCAGCTTGAAATAATCATTATCCTCGTATTGATCGAAGTGTTATTGAAGTATATTTGAAATGTTTATTCGATTTTTACAAGTATCGTTCATTTATGCATTTCAGTTGTATAATTTTCATGAGGAAATCTCTCCCTCTCTGCACATGCAGCGAAATGAATTCATAGAATTTTTCACATGATGTTGGACAATCATTATTGACATGAGATAGAAAGAAAAATTTATGATATTAATTAAGTTAAACGAATTTATAATATTAGGCAATTGTTATTTCACCGATTTATGAATCAAATGAAATTCTTTCAGTATTTCGATACTTTATTTCCGATACTACTACACGAAACTCTCGAACTCGCGTACGAGTTTTTCGATCAAAAAAATTTATAAACATGTGTTTAAAAAAAAAAAAAAAGAGAAAGAACCTTTGATCCGAATCGCTTCCATTAATTACGCCAGGAAGTCAATATTACGTGCTGTTACAACGACGAAAGCGATAGCCATAAATATTCGCGTGATCGATCGGCGAATACGTCATCGTAAAGTGTCGTCTTCCCTCTGCCCAATCTTTTTTACCAAACGTCAATACAATTTCATCATCTTCTTGTGCACGTGGGCTAATTTGTTCTTCTAATCGATCTGAATATGTTTCTCTTCTCCCGTCGAATATATTCAAGACGGTAATTGGATTTCGCGATAAACAATTTAATTTGAAAGGTAGCTCACCTAACCAAAACTACGTCTGTCTACGTTATACATATAAATTTGAATTTATCATATATTGAGTCATTGTATATCTAACAATCTTCTGAAATAAGCGTAGAATATTGAAAACGATCGTTATCAATCTAAATTTGTTACTAAATAAACCTAACCTAAAATTCCAATTGAAATTTTGTCCGAATGTCACGTGAATCGAAATTGTTTAACTAATCGCTCGTTGAATATTATCGAAAAACATAAAATTCGTATACATAGACGAAGTTCGACATAGCTTGTTACACTTAACTCGAATTCTAATGAAAATGAAGCCCAATAATAATCCTCTTAACCAAGTACGGGACAAAAAAATTGTTTTTCTTCGTGGGAGAACTTTGTAATTGTATTGTAAATTAATTACTCGGATATTTGAAACTTTTAAACAAACCCAACCTGGCTGGATACAGAATTTCGACGAAAATCCAAACATAACCTAAATCAGAATTGTCAAACCTCGCTTGTCGCGGTAATATCGAAAAAAATTTGTAATGCTCTTAAACGAAGTTTAATGCAAGGTTCTCGTATGATACCGAGCTTCTAAAATTCCGTTTTCCATGTTTCGCTCAAACATAACCTAAGCCAAAACTTCGTGGATCAAAAAGTACAAAAAATTTGAAGCTTAATTGAAGCTTAATTTACATCCAAATTACGCTTAAATTCTAGTAAAACCAAACACAATAATCTTCTCAAGTGACAATTACAATAACAGCAAAGAATTGTTTCTCTCATTGAAAGAAACTACCCAGTTTGAAAACATGGGATCGAATTCGACCTAAATTGAAGCGAACGCGCGAGACCTAACCTAAAATTCCAATGCAAATTCAGCTCAAACATAACCTATCTAGACCAAGATCGTCGAATGATAGAAATAATCTGTACTTTGGTTATGCTCGTCTCGAGTTTCAATAAAATCGTATCCAATAATACATTTGACCGAGTGCAAACGAATCAAAATAAAAGAAAAAAAAGAAGGGGAAAACCTAATTCTAGTAAAACCAAACCCAATAATCCACTCGAGTAATAATAATAATAACAGCAAAGAATTGTTTCCCTCATTGAAAGAAACTACCTCGATTGAAAGCATGGAATTCGACCCAAACCCAAGCGAACGCACAAAACCTAACCTAAAATTCCAAACATGACCTATCTAGACCGAGATCGTCGAATGATAGAAATAATCTGTACTTTGATTATGCTCGTCTCGAGTTTCAATAAAATCGTATCCAATAATACATTTGAGTAATAATAATAATAACAGCAAAGAATTGTTTCTCTCATTGGAAAAAACTACCCCGTTTGAAAACATGGGATCGAATTCCATCCAAACCCAAGCGAACGCGCGAAACCTAACCTAAAATTCCAAACATGACCTATCTAGACCGAGATCGTCGAATGATAGAAATAATCTGTACTTTGATTATGCTCGTCTCGAGTTTCAATAAAATCGTATCCAATAATACATTTGAGTAATAATAATAATAACAGCAAAGAATTGTTTCTCTCATTGGAAAAAACTACCCCGTTTGAAAACATGGGATCGAATTCCATCCAAACCCAAGCGAACGCGCGAAACCTAACCTAAAATTCCAAACATGACCTATCTAGACCGAGATCGTCGAATGATAGAAATAATCTGTACTTTGATTATGCTCGTCGTCGAGTTTCAATAAAATCGTATCCAATTCCCTTTGGCCGAGTGCAAAGAATTGTTTTTTCCCCCCCATTGGCGAAACTCCGCCGTTTGAAAACACGGAGCAAAGTTTTTTTTTTCCGGTGGAAATCAATTTCCCGGCGAAAGGGCCGCGTTTTCCAACGGGCAAGTGGCGCGGCTGAAATGAAAACTGACAAACTGCGGGATGGCCAGCGGTTAATAGCAACGCGATATCGCGTCAGTGGAGAGACGAGGGTCGATCTATGGCGCTTGGGAACGATGCAAGTAGAATTGGAGAGAGGGTTGTGATACATGACGACAACCACAGCGAGCATATTTGAAACGGCGCGCGTTCAACGCCAGAGCGAAACTACGCCGATGAGCGGAGAATAAAAATTGCGTATCTGGGAAATGAACTGTTTCAACGCTGCTCGAGGTGTATTTGTATTCAAATGGATTAGGTGTGATCCATCCGTCGGATGTGTTTATGTATCTCGTAAAACCGAAGTGGATAACATTTTTCTAGTTTATCTCTGTAACTGTAACTGGACTGGACTTTCACGTGAAGTTAAATATAACATAAGTGACACGTAACATGGAAAAATATAAAACGAGTGTTTAAAGTGAAGTACGTTAGTTGTAATGATTAATGAAACGGAGTGCAGTAATAAAATATTCTTAATACGTAGGTTCCATTTCATTCTTTATATCAGTGATACGAAGTTGCATTAGAACTGATGTTATAATAATGTAGTCTAATTATAATAATGATCCAAAATTAAAAATGAGCCATTTGTACGAGTATAATATAATAATAATATATAATATTGTGTATTGTAATATAATATATATAATATATAGAATAATATATATGTATTGTAATATAATATATATAATAGTATATTATACTATTATATTATACTATAATAGTAAATTATACTATTATATTATACTATAATAGTAAATTATACTATTATATTATACTATAATAGTATATTAGACTATTATATTATACTATTATATTATACTATTATACTATTATATTATACTATTAATTAATATTGTACTATTATATTATACTATATTGTATGGTATACTAGTATACTAGTATATTATATTATACTATACTGTGTACTAAAATAATATACCTATAATATAATTATCATATATATTATATATTATTATGTGATAATATTATATAATTATCATATATATTATATATTAATATATGATAATATTATATATTATATATTATATTATAATACTGCATAACATACACAATATTACTATTATATATTATTATATATAATATTATAATACTACACAACATACACAATATATATTATTATATATAATATTATAATACTACATAACATACACAATATTATACAATTAACATGTAAAATGAAAAATTACTGATAAAATATAAAGTAAACAATGGTAATTCCGATGTCGAAAGTAATTCCAAATAGAACTTCAGCGTGAGCAAAATTTTAATTGAATTCGAAAACCAACAATCATTATAGCAGATGATTAATTTCGATTAATCAACGATCGACGATCAATTCCATTATCATCAACACATAAAATTTCCTTTTTAGCAGTTAATTTCAATTGACTCAATTTCAATTGAGTCAGTTATCAATCGTTATATAATGATTGTCAGTTTTTCTTTTCTGATGATTTTAGTTCCCATTTTTTCTAGATTCATTTTTTTTTTTTTTTTTTTTTTTTTTCTCGTGAATCGATTTCTATAAATTCTCAAGAGTATCTTTCGTTAAGAAGGGAA